AGGGGGAAAGGGGTAGAAGGGCGGGGACAAGGGGCAGGGGTGGAACAGGAGGGGGAGATGTGGGAGAGGAAGGCATGAGGGGAGCTGCAGAGGGGAGGGGAGAGGAGGAAGAGCTGGGCCATCCCTGCTGTTCAACATACACTGCTGTGTAGTGCCATTTGAGGCACTAAATTGCCCCAGATTTCATGGTGCCCTATGCAGCTGCGTATCGGCTCTGGTGGCCAGCCCCGTACCCTGGCTGGCTCATCACGGGCTGGATGTGGGAGAGGAAGGCATGAGGGGAGCTGCAGAGGGGAGGGGAGAGGAGGAAGAGCTGGGCCATCCCTGCTGTTCAACATACACTGCTGTGTAGTGCCATTTGAGGCACTAAATTGCCCCAGATTTCATGGTGCCCTATGCAGCTGCGTATCGGCTCTGGTGGCCAGCCCCGTACCCTGGCTGGCTCATCACGGGCTGTGCCCAGCCACCACTCGCCAGGTGACAGCAAGCGGCGTGAATGCAGGCAGGAGGACTGAGACGCAGCAGAGGCGACCGCACAGCCGGCGGGAGAAGGGAAAACATCACTTCTCTGTGGCCAGCTACGCGGCTGCCCCTGCTCCCCCGAGTCCTCCAGCCTGCTTTTGCCGCCCCTGTGAGGCTGTTTGGTGAGCCTCCATCCTGGCCCTGTATCTCTGGGCCTGCCCCCCACAGCTTCCTCTCCTGCAAGTTACCCCTGCGGAGCTGTTCTGTCTGTATGGCACTAGCATTGGTGGGGATGGCCCTGCGAAAGAGTAATTAATTCCCCAGCAATCAATCTCCCCTCTGCGTAGTGCTAGCTGAGGGCTTCTCCCGCAGCCAGTCATGGCCCGGTTGCAAGGTGGAGGGATAGAGGGGTTGGTGGAGCCTAGGATTGAAGCTGGTGTGAAGAGGGGTTGGGGGCTCAGTGCGAACTGCATCCAACGAGCAGTCAGTAGAGCTGGTTGGAAAATGTCCATCAAATCTCAGTTGAAAATGGGAAAGAGGTTCCCTGCAAATGTTACCCTGTCTAGCCAGCAACAGTGTTCAGCCCAGGCCTGCTGGCAGCAATTCCAGGCCGTGGGGCAGAACAATCAGTGGATTCCCTTGCATGCCTGCGTGGATGTGATCCCCCCAACATTTGGGTGGTGCTCTGCCTGCACTGCCTGGTGCCCCGAGAGCCGCTGACTGCACTGCTGGCTGCACAGTTCTGGCATGGCCACAGCTTCCACATGCCCAACTGGTAGGCTTGCCAACTGCCTGATCACACAAACCCAAAGACCCTTGCCACGCCCCTGTCCTCCCCTTCTCTGAGGCCCTGCCAGCACTCCGCCCCCCCCCCAGTCACTCACTCACTCACTCTCCCCCACTCTCACTTTCACCAGGCTGGAGGAGGGGTTTGGGAGGGGTGCAGGGTGCACACTCTGGGAAGGAGCTTGGGGAAGGGAAGGGGCTCAGGGTTGGGCTCGGGGAGGGAGGTGTGGGATCTGACCTGGGGCAGAGGATGGGGTTCAGGAAAAGTGAGGGGATCAGCACTTCAGATGGCTCCCAAAAGTGATCAGCACACCCCTCTGGCAGCGGTTCTTAGGTGGGGAGGTCCAGGGGGTTTCCACTTACCGCCTCCCACCAGCATTGCCACCAGAGCTCCCATTGGCCACCATTTTTGGCTAATGGGAGCTGTGAAATTGGCACTCAGTGCGGGGGCAGCATGGTGAAACCCCACCCCCAGGGGCCACAGGAATGTGTTGTGTCAGCGGTGAGCAGCAAGGGCGGACGGGAAGACTGTCTTAGCGCCAGTGCGCTGCGGGGGGTCACGGCGGCGGTTGGAGGCCCCATGGCAATTGGTCCCTGTAGCCCCCTGTGGGAAGGCCTGGTTCTATCCTCTCCATTTCACAGGTCCTTTTTTCTGATGTCAATAATCTACAATGGAGACTGTTCCAGAGTGTGGTCTGTGGATATGCCCTACCTTCTTTAATGCACACGTGTAGCCCGACCCGATTAGCAGTACCGAATGGGCTGGCTCAGGATGGACAATCACCAGCTGGGATGGAACCGTGAGACCCTCTCTGTATTAAAGATCTGGCCTGGATGATTTTGACCAGATTTATTTAATGTATGTGAGTTTGGTCTTTGGATTCTTAATAAGTTGCCAATTAACTTCTGGTCTGGGCAGAATGTGGGCATCTAACATATGGGAATATCTGGTATCCCACATGGCTGTGGATGTAAAGGGGTTTTGGGTTTCAAATCTCGGACTTGTCCCCTTTCTGTTTCCTCATAATGAGGTGTATCAGTGCAGTGTGCTAGGGTGGGAGAGGCGATGTAAACTGTATGGAGAACAAGTGTTGAAAAAATACTGTGTGTCATAAAAGCAATAAACAAATTCTATATCGAGAGACTGGAAAAGCATGTTGGGAAAATTACTTCAGATGCAGCACCAGGCACAGGTTATTTAAAAAAAAAAAAAAACAGCTGGGCGTGCCATTTTTACTGGCACATTTCCCAGTGTTCTTATTTACTGAGGTTTATAAGACATGTGGTTTAAAACACGAAGCTAAGGAAGCTGTCGGCTGCAGTGCTTAAATTCATGGGGCATAGTTACAGGGTGTGATTACAGAATATTGCTGCCATCTACAGCCCAGATCCTGCCATGTCCCTACCGGTTGGGAGAGACTTGCTTCTCTCTCCTCAGTAGGGAACTGTTGCTGTCGCTGTGGGAGAAGTGCCCGTTCCCTAGCCAGGCAGCTCTGTGCGCTGAGTCCTGAGCCCCTGGCTGGGCGGGGCTCATTAAACAGCCGCGGGGCTGTGCTGTCGCAAAGCTTAGAGGGAACCTTGGCGGTCAGACTCACGGGCCAGCTTGCAGGGGAAGAAAATGGTTCTGCAGGCTGCTGTGCCCTTTCTCCCACCCTGGCTGGGGGAACGGCAGTGCAGGAAACCTCTCGCCTGGAGGTTTTCCCCGATGCTCCCACTGGCTGGAATGATGGCCAAAGGGAGCAGCAGTGGGTGGTGCTTGGGAGTGATGGGAGTCATGGAGCCAGGTAAGTGTCCCCATCCTCTTCATGACCACCATCCCCCTCCTGTATCATCCCTCCCGCCAGACCCCGCCACTCCCAGGCCGCTTCTGCACCCTACCTCCCAGCTAGACCCCACTTCCCAACCCACTCCTGCACCCATTTTATCATCATGGGTGGCTGGCTGGAGACTGCAGAAAGGTCTGTGTTGAGCAGGGTGGGGCCAAAAAGTTTGAGAACCGCTGTTCCTGGAGTGTTTGTCTCTTGAAAGTGGGACATACGCTTACAAATCACATAGGTGCTTTTGAAAATTTTGCAGTTCATCTCAAAACACACTATTGAGTTAAATAAAATATACTCGAGGGAGAAGGAGAAATGAAAAGGGTTGAGCAGGGGAGTAAATAATGGTTTTGGATGAGATTTGAAGAGTTGGAAATCAGAGTCACGTCTATGAAGCTTGTTTCCATATGGCAGGAGCTACAGGGGAGATCATCATGGAGACAATTTAGAGCCGCGGTCACCAACCAGTAGATTGCGATCTACCGGTAGATCTCAGGGGCTCTAAGAGTAGCTCTTGAGCCCTCTCTGAACTGCGCGCCTGCGCA